TATTATCACTGTATACTGACATCTTTGCATAAAAACGATAAGATATATTTGTATCATAAGTACATATGTTACTGCATCGTTTCGTTTCGTATGCAAAGAAGTCAATTGCTAGAGAAACATTGTGCCCTGAAACGGACTAAACTGAACTGTTGTAAGATATATTTATGGGTTTCTATAGAGAAATTGCCAAGACTTTATGTTGTCTTTTCAATACTTATTTTTGCTTTATAACAAAATTTCCCTGATTAAAAAGATTACAGCATCCGGCGACGCCACATTGCACTAGTTTGAAGGGTAAAGTCAATTCGAAAACCGAAGTAGCGGAAGTTACCCCAGGAGCGAAATGGGGCTCGCGGTGTCCCACGGGAGCCTGCGAGAGGCCCCTTTCCCCTTGAAGATTTTCATTCCGCCCTGCCCGGAAATCAGGCGGTGAGGAAGAATCGTTTCTTTAGATAAAGTCGATTTAATCATCTGAAGCGAACGTTCATGAGAATTTAATTGGGGTTCATTTCAATGCCATTATATAAATTTTGGGTCATGAGAGATTGATGCATTTAGTTGGGATGTCAAATCTGTCCAAAGTCGTACTATATGTATTTAGGGGGCCTATATCACTTCAATTGCAACATGCCCCATTACCATCACAGCAGCCTCCACCAGCTTGGAAACAGTCCCCTGTTTGCCATGCAGGTCCTGGAGGATGTCGCCATACTCGCACACGTCCGCTCCCCGAAACAATATGAAAAGCAACAGATTAAGTCGCGTTTTGACGCGCCCAGGCGAAGGTGTAAAGCTTTGAGTTGTTGGCGGTCATCAAGGGTATGTGAATATCCTTCGGCTCCGAAACTCCATACGATAAGTCTAACATTGAATGGTTCGCACGGCTGATACTTGTGGTGGTCCAACATTTGAAATCTGCAGCAATCTGCGGGGTTGTACTATCTTCAACTATGTAATGATTCTCCTTCAATCGTGTCGGTTTTTGTTCTTGCACGATTCTTTTTGTGGCCACAGCATGCCAGAGGTTTACGTTTTACCGGATTCCCGATATTCGCCGGTACACTGTGAAAATGGCCGAAAGGGGAAAATCCTAATTTCAGCGCGACGTCGGAGACGTTTATGCCCCATTTCTCTTTGCGCGACGACTAAAACTCCACGTTGAAACTCACTTAAATCGTGATAAACTGTCATTCGAGCAACAGTAAGCGATCTAACAACTGTGCCCGACTTTCTGGCTTGTCTTATATAGTCGTTTGGGCCGACCGGAAGCGCCGTATTCTGATTGCTTCCAGGTTCTCTTTATTTCAATATGGATGGCGAATTTTGATTCTTCAGTATAATTACGCGTCGGTATCTCGTAACTCTCTGTGGCTAAAGATGTTGTTAAACTTCTGTGTCTCCTTCTGTCTCTGTTTTTCTCAGCGGATTCTGTCGCTGTTTGCGCATTCTGCCTCTGCCTCGTATGGTCTCTCATATATCTTCTCCCTGATCTCTCAGTCTCTATCTCTGTATCTTTATCTTGTCTCTGCCTCTTTGTGTCTTCCTTTTGGAAAAAAAAAAAACTTTCCGTTATCTCATGTCCCAACTCTATTTCTGTTTTTTCTCTCTCTTGCGACTGGTATCTACCTCTGCCTCGCTCGCCTCTGTCTGTCTGTCTCCGTCTCTCTTGGCTCTGGCGTGTCACGTCTCTTTGTGTCCTTCGTACTTACGCGCACCCGTCTGCTCTGTGTCTTGTTTCCGTCTCTCTGCATCAGTTATGTCACTAACCGTCTAGCTTCGTCTTCTCTCTCTCTCTCTCTCTCTCTCTCTGTTGTGTGTCACTCGCGTCCCGCCGCGTCCTTGCCCTGGGCTTTGCCTGCGGCACGCGCCAAAGACAGCAACAGTTGCAAGCCGCCAGTCGAGCGCAGTTTGAATTGAAAACTTTAATTACACAAGTTTAAAACGCATATTTGTTCCTGTCAATGCCGCTATATTAGGAAATTAGTACACAAATTGAACAACATAAGCCTTCTCTGGAAATAAATATATAATATCATATATTATATAATCATATTATATATATATATAATATGTGTGTGGTGTGTGTGTGTGTGTATATTGCAACCGGACCAGCGCCGTCAACATTTCCAAAGACGCGTTCGCAGTACCTCGCAACTCTCGTGACTAGATTGCGTTAACTCTTAGTGAAGTTCCAGTTCAGGTCGTGTGTCTACCTCAAACGACCTGACGGTCTGAAAACGAATCGGCGTCGAATCGCTGGCACTCAACCACTCTTCACTCGACACGCACACAGCCGATCGCTCGCCCCGTGAACCGGAGTACCCAAAAACTAAAATTCGCAGGCTGCGTCAACCTAGTCGACTCGAGCCGATCTGCCCGTTTCCGCGGTTGCCCCTTTACGGAAAAACCCTTCTTTCTGTGGCGC